TATAATCGCCGTGTGAATCTGTCGAATAGATGAGTATCGATGGAATTTGCCTTGTGAATTCGCTTCAGTATTTCCTTCGTTTAGCATCGATTGGTAAGATCGAAAGGAAATCGGACGAAAGCGATTATCGATCGAGCGTGAAAACTAGGATAAGTCATAGTTCAACACGGAACAGCATCGTTCTAGGCGCACACGTGCTTTACATCTTAGAAGCAATGCATGCACGTGCAACCGAGTCTCGTATATATGGCAATTCGCTTTTACTTTTTTTCTTTTTTTTTTAAAAGCTACTTCTTCTCCTCCTCTTCCTCTTCTTCTTTATTCCTTATTTACTCACTTTCCTTTTTTTTTTTTCTCTCTCATCGTCGTTGGACTCGATCCATAGGATTTTGGTCTCTGTACGATCGGTGAAAATGTCAGTTCACCGATAAATATACATATACGTAATCGAACTGCGAATTTGCGAAATATTCGCAATAATATGTATAAACAAAAGTGTTCCTTTTTCTCTTCGAAATCACTGTCGAGCTTTTACGTATAGTTCCTTCCACGAGATACGTAAAAAAATACATCGGAAAAACTTGTAACGAAACTTATCGGAGAAAGCAGTAACGTAATAGTAACGTAAATTATCGATCGGGATGGATATCGGAGATTCATAGCCGAGTGGAAGGTTGACGGCGCGGTCGCAAGATGGCGGTAGTTGCGAAAGGGATTCGAAACGGTTGAACGGGATGGGGGGACCGATCTCGCGCGTTCCTAAACTTGTCTCTCTCCCGAGCGTCGATACACAATTCTCCAATAAATTTGCAGGACATGTCCGATGTGTGCGTGGGTACCAGCGTGGGGACCATCACCGAGCCGGAATGTTTGGGACCTTGCGAGCCCGGGACCTCGGTCACTTTGGAGGGGATCGTTTGGCACGAGACCGAAGGAGGTGAGTGACTGTTGCGCGCGCACGATCCTTGCGCACGACCTCTGCGCACGATCCTTGCGCACGACCTCTGCGCACGATCCTTGCGCAGGATCTCTGCGCACGATCCCTGCGCACGACATCTCCCCCCCTTGTCACGTGCTCGTTACGTTACGTTACACGACGGGTTTGCAGGTGTGCTGGTGGTGAACGTGACATGGCGCGGTAAAACATACGTAGGCACGTTGCTCGATTGCACGCGCCACGATTGGGCGCCGCCGAGGTTCTGCGACTCGCCGACCAGCGACCTCGACGCGCGGACGCCG